GAGACAAGCTTGCTAACCATGACACAGCATCGAAATACCCAAATCAATCAGTTATGTGCCATACGTGATAAACGATAGGCGATATTGTATCTTTTGATATTGACGAGGCAGATTTTTTCCAGCAGGAGAACAGTTGTCATCCAAGGCTCTAAAACCCGGTCTGTCCTGCTATTGGGGGAGAATAGGATTCATGCCTTCCCCAAGGTTATGTAATGGATTTGATTGGAATTTGAACTCGGCTCTCCGATTCCTCAATCCAAGCCGCTATTCATTTTGTGCTTTTACAATTTAGCGCATATGTCAAGTCGAAAGGCGGTTTCTGCCTTTTTTTTCAATTTGAATAATTCCGACTCTGGAAGATGGTTGGTATGAAAAAGTGTAGAATTTTGAATGCAGTATGGCAAGCTTATCAGTTGTTGGCTATATGTGAAAGACGCCGAGTCTCAAAGTTGATCAGTAATGTGTAAACGAATAGCGATTTCTTCTTTCGTTTTTTTGCGTTTTTTTTTTGTTTTTGTTTTTTTTTTTGTTCGGGATATGCATTAATCAAGAATCCAGTCTCATCTAGATAAGGGGTTGTGAAATGTAGCCGAACAGTGAAGATGCCTTCTACCGATGTCTGGATATTGTTTCGAGACATTCAACCAATGCTCCATTTTTGTTTCTTTCATTTTATTTATTTATTTATTTATTTTATTTTTTTTTATAATGTATATAATGAAAATTTCTTATTTCTGTAAGCAAAACTGTTCTAAAAACGAAGCGAGAAATGACGGTAGAAGGAAAAAAAAAAAATTATAGATAATAAAATTCTAGGTTTAAACAAACATTTTCCCGTTAAGGGATAGATTTAACGTACATTGTAACCCGGATCTAAGAGAGTTGTCGGGACCGGAGAAGAAATCTCTTATATCCGGGTTTGGTCTATTTTATATACATTAACACAGGCACTAATTCGGGACCAGAGAAAAATATCGGGTTCATTATATCCGGAGAAAATAATGATTTTTATTATTAGTATTAGAAAATTTGTTTTATTTTAGTAGTAAAATAATAATGATTTTTATTATAATAGTGGATTATTAAATTATGGCCAAATAATTAGTTTTATTTTTTAGTAGAATAGTATTGTTTTTATTCCATCCCATATTCCAAGAAATTCTGCTCTAAGTGACTAAGTAAAAATTGTTATTCTTGAATCAGTATTATTGATAATATAATATCGATGGATGGTAGATGCAATAAATTATATATGGCCAAATAATTACGTTTTTTTTTTCTGTGTTTTATTTCCAATATTAAGACAAAATAAGCAAGAATAAACGTTTGGAAGAATAAACATTTATTCATATTCAGAGAAATTCTTATTGATGTTCATTCATCTCAGGTCTAGTATTATTCAGAAATTCTTTTTAAGAATAAAAAAATTTGGACTCCATTTATTCTGTGATCTTTGTATATATATATATATATATATATATATATAATGTAAATCTGGTCGCTTTCACTATGAAGTATAGAGCTATCGTCTCGATTACTAAGCGTTGTGTTCTCAGATTTTTTAGCAAATAGGATTTTACGGGATGAAGTTGCTCGTATATCCAAGCTTTTTTTTCCCCGTTTCACTTTGTCTGGTTCCTAACCATGTTCACCGAGGTCAGTCTGCTGAATCTTGGAATTGGATTCCTATTTTTCAAATGTATTTGTCAAAAGCAGACTCAACCGCCTGAAATTTGAAGGTGGCATGTTAGCCCCCCTCTCTCCCCGTCGATAAACTTTACGCTCCGTGCACATGCGGTCTTCTGTAGAACAGGTGATAAAATGCTGCCTATTTATTGGTAATTAGACGTTAGCTGATAATTCTACTCTCTGGTTCAAGGGTTTGAACAAAAAACACGAGTTGCTAAAAGCTTTTAATTTCAAAACCCGAAGTTTGGAATAATAAATCAGTTCTTTTTGTCTTCTACAACAGGGTCTTTCAATTTAAAGGAACTTGGCTTTCAAGAGAAAAATTGGAAAGGGATTTCAGTCAGCTGTAAAGACGTGTAATAATGAAAGAATTACTGAATGACAATTCAAAAACAGTATTGACAGAACTTGGAATTGCAAGAGAAGTAATGTGGCCTAGGACTCTGAAAGCCACTGTTCTATGTGACATAGCCCCAGTTTTAGTCACGACAGAAAGATATATATTTCTAAGAGCAAGTGTAAGGACATGGTTGGCAGAGAAAATAACTTTAATACGACTTGATTATTATGGCTATATTGTGAAGCCATTTTTGTTAGTAAACATATTAGACTTACGTGTATATACAGTGTAACCCGGATATAAGAGAGATTTTCTCTGGTCCCAAATTAGAGCCTGTGTTAATGTATATAAAATAGACCAAACCCGGATATAAGAGACTTCTTCTCCGGTCCCGACAACTCTCTTATATCCGGGTTACACTATATATATATATATATATATATATATATATTATTATCTGAGGTGTTTGAATTAGACGATTCAATTATTCCGCAAGTTACTCGGACCTGGAGCTTCAGATTTGTTTATTAAAATACAAGTCACAAGTTAAGCCACACTTGTTTAGTGATGATAAAAGCAAATTTCGAATACATACATGCATACGTATATATGATAGGTTTCTTTAAAAAAAAAGGTATATACCTCAACTGCTACTGCAGATTTACTTATCCGATTTTTAGATTATCATTTTAATATTCAGACAAGCATGAAGATCCCAAAGGTGAAACTGCAATAGCGGGTAAGATATTAGATTTTTTTTAAAAATAAATATTCCTAAGTTTACCCTGCAATTTCTCTGGTGAGCAATCTTTTTTTTAAATCGCCTGTAACTAGTCTGATCGGGTTTCTCTTCGTAATTGATTTGAAGCAAATAAAGAGATGCATATATATGTATGGGTTTGTCTTTCCTCATTTTTCACGAAATCGCAGACCGATAGACGAAGCACACAGTGTTTAATTGATAAAAATATGGCGTCTTTTTCAAATAAGATGTGTCTATTATAATGTCGTTTGATGTAATAATGTCGGATTTAAAATAAATACATTAATCCCTTTGAAATTAATTTTTCTTTCCAAATACAAACATGAGCAGATAAAGGCTCTGGAGAAAAATAATGTGGGTAAATGGGTGTGCTTTCATCTGTGTGAGTGTGATATGAAAACTTTACCATCGTTTTCCGACATTCACCGTTCAGCAGTTCTGAGAAACCAGACTATCAGCACATCTCATTGTGCAGAGACGACGACAGATTTTTTTTTTTTAAGAGCTGAATACACAGAACTGGTGTACATAGTGTGCCACAATGTCCAACAAAGTGGTACAGCACAACTCAACACCGCCGAATACGCGTCAGAACAACTCGGGTCCAGACAAAGACAACATTTTTATAACAGAATAAAAGTATTTTAAGAATTAAAACCTTAATTAGTGAATAACCTTCTTTCCATAAGACATTATGTAAAATATGACCCAGTTCTTTGTTTTTTTATTATTTTATTAAAGAAAATATATTCATTATTTTTTATTGTTTTATTTAAGGCCAAATATAAAACCCTAGTTGTTTTCTGGACTCAATTTGAAAGGTAGACATTGGAGTATAGCAGAAAAAATTGCCACGCTGCATGATCTATCTTATATATTATTCCTAACTGATATGTGCACCTCGAGGTGGTGTAATGGTTGACAAGCTTGTCTCGCTAGAACAATTACGACTGAGTAGTGAGTTAGATCCTCACTGGGTGCTCCCTACTTTCGGCCTTGTGCCTCATCTAAGCATCACTTGGAACATCTCTATTATTTTTAACTGATGATATATATATATATCAGCTTTTAAGGGCTTCTAGGCTAGTACGATAATAAACGCTGAAGCTCGGGTTACGACTTCAGATATCTAGAAGGAATTTGACAATATTTGGCATGGGAGTCTTCTTAACCTGAAGAGGATATTTATTTTGTAAAAGTCACACAATTGTGGCACAAGGCCGAGGGGAAATGAATTTCTAAGCTTAGATGCGGCACAAGGCCGAAAGTTTGGGGCACCCAGTGAGGATCGAACTTACTACTTAGTCTTTATTGTTCCTGCGAGACAAGCCTGCTAACCATTACGCCACCTCAATTTGACCTTCTCAACCTGAAGAGCGATGGTGTCTCCCGGGTGAATATTTATTTCCAGTCAACCTTTCTTAACAAATCCTGTTGAACGGCCATTCTTGATCCTTTAACATTAATGCGAGCAACCTCCTGTGTTTTATCCTTGGATATACTTTATTTCTTATCTTCATCAACGACAATTCTGATGCCATAATTATTTTATCCTGTCATAATAAGGCAGTTCAATTTTGGAACAGTGGTATTGCATTCAAAGGTGCGATTTGACATGACACAAACAACATTTTTCCAAATCGTTACCGTTTT